ATATATGTGGAATATGGTAAAGGAAAGTACTCGGCGAATGCTTGTACAAGAAAGTTTAAAGTTTTTAGGTGGTTTGGGGTTGCTTTTTCTCAGGGGAAAATACCTTCTATGATTAATATTTGAGATATATACCATACTTATCTTATACATTATGTTCAGTCATATAAATATATACATAAAATGTTGTTACCCACACTTAACTAAGTTATTCAAATCTTTATAATAATAAAGAGTTCACAAGCATTTGCCGTTGCTCTTTCCTTGCTAATAGTTGTTGGTTTTCATCTCCCACCTTAAAGTTGGGTTTTAGTATTTTTTTTGTTCATCATGTTATTTTTTATTCTGAGTTATTTAAATAATATTTATATTAGATTGATATCATTTTATATTTTACTATTTGATTTTTATACGAGATTTGAAATAATTTAAGCAACTATTTTTTATGGTACTTGAAAGTCAAATCATATACATTTAAATACTACCAATTATATATTTATAAAATATATTTTTTTAATTATTTACAATTAAAAGCTTCATACGTTTCTAGAACTAGCCCGTGCAATTCATGGATAACTTATCTAGTATATAACTAAAACTCACCATGTATCAAATATATACCAAAACCACATATTCACATTTTTCCTACCATGATGTGATACCAAAATCATAATTTCACATATCATCCAAGTTATTTTTGAACATGTTAAATTTATTGGGTAAATCTCTCTATAATTTAATTTTTTTATATTAAAAAAATTAAAAACACATCAACATTTTCTTTTTACATTAAAAAAATAATAACCCACCAATAACATAACATGAATCAATTATCTTATAACCTAAAAGTGGTTGGTCCCTTGTATCATTATTGTACGACTTCTCAAGGAATAAAAAACTGAAGACCACACTAAATCTTTGCTTCTTAACTGGTTTCCAATCATCGCTTTTCAAGGCCTAAATACTCTAATATGCTATTAGCCAATTTACCATATGATAATGATAGATTGTGCCTATTTTTTTAATATTTTATTTTTTTCAAAACAAATTTTATTACAATTGAATTAGCACAAAAAATAGAATAATTAAATAAAAAAATAATAACTAATGAATTTCCAAGATCAACAAATATAATAAAAAATAATAATTGATTATGAAAACTTTTTTAAATATATTATGGAGTTATAAAAAAATTAAACATATATGTTTTTATAAATATATGTCAATTAATAGTTATTAAATAGGCATATATAATGATATTTTCTAAAGTATTACCTAAAAAAATATGTTAATTCCATTAGTATGAATTCTAGAGTTCATGACAACTTTTAAAAGTAAATGTCACAAAATGTAGATTTAATCTAAGTTTTAGGAAACTAAATACAAGCATACAATAAAAGTTAAATTACAAAATTCCTAAAAAAAAAAATGAAACGTGTATATATATATAAAACAAAAACTCACATCCAATTATACCATGCCTCAAATATACACCAAACCATAAATGCACCCTCTTCCTACCATCATGTGATGTCATATTATCAGAAAGAAACTAAAATGGGTGTATTTTTCACAATAGCTACCCCACAATAAGCTTCTTTTTACAATTTAGTCTTTAAAGTTTGTTTCTCTTCTATTACAATCTTTTTTGTTCAAATTCATTATCAATTTATAAAAAAAAATGTTAAGAGGTATCATAATTGAAACAAAAACGACCAAAGTGTATAACAAAGAGAAATTAGGTGGTGGTTTGGTTGGAAAAATCCTTTTGGTCCTCATACTTTTTAATGATAAAATTTGGGTCCCTCAATATTTTGAAAATAAAATTTTGATCCAAAATTTTATTTTTCTTATTTTTTAGTAACTAGTTTGAGAGAGGAGAGAAAATTATTAGATTTTGGTGGTAAAAATAAAGTATCGATTGATACTGATTTTGATCACAAAATAAAAAACGATTTTGGTGTTAATAGATTCCATTCGATTAGGGAAGTGTAGCCTATGTGTTTTTTGCCATTAACATTACCAAGTTGATCTAAGCTCGAGACTTTTTTTTTTGTTTCATGTTAATTTTGAGTTTTTAAGTTGTTTGAAGTCATGGATAGGTTTGTTAATATGTATAAGGTGTTTTGGAAGAAAAACGGGTTGAAAACCAAGTTTTTTCTTGACAAAAAAAAAACCTTGGCTTGAGTTTTCAGTGACCTTTTAGTCATTTATTGTTTTGGTCATTTTATTTTTTTTTGCTACGATTTCATCCTTTGTTGTCTATTTTTTTCAATCTTAATATTTTTTAACAATTTTTATTATGCATTTTTTAATAGAATAGAATATAATTTGATTTTTACTTAGTTTACGGATGAAATTTCATTGTTATTTTTGTAGGTTAGGTGTCATTCTTTTCTTGTGGTCCTACTTAATTGTTTTCCCTTTAATTCTATCCAGTCGCTTTCCAATATATTTTTCTATTATTGTTTTATTAAATAAAACATAGATTCTAAGACTATTAAATACAATAGAGTCTATAATTCATGTTTCATGATCAAATGTCTATGACAACATCTATCTCTTGGTTTTCCAATTTAGTCAATGGTTAAATATGGTTTATTTTTTAACTTGGTTTTCACATAAAATTATATATATTTTTTTAACATGTGTAGCTTTGTATAATAATTTTTTTCAATCTCTTTCATACATGTGTCTGTTTCTATTATCGTTTAATTTAATAAATATTTTATTCTACATTTTTTTTATTAAACATAATTGTATACATGACTCATGTTGCGAGATCAAATATTTTAAATAATATCTGTCGCTTGATTTTTTTACTCTAGTCTTTAGTTATCATTTATGATTTTTTTTACATTTATTGGCACAAATAATTCTTGATTTACTTAATTAGATGCATGCATAAACTTTCCAATATATGATTGAGAATTTTGTTTTATCCAAAAATACATTGAAAAAGCCTGCATATTAATTTCTTTTGTTAAAAAATGAGTTATTTAACCTGCAGCAGCACAAATCAAATAACTAATACTAAAAACTAAAAAAAAAAGAGTTGCTAGATTCACTTTTCACATGAACAATGAATCTAGCATCTCACATGAGTTAATTGTTTTTTCTATATGTTTTTTTTTTCTCATTTCAATCAAGCTTTTTTTTTTTAATGCCTAATTAGAAGATATTAGGCTTGAAATTATGGTAAAAATACAATATTTACATATAAGTAACTAAAATGTAAAATACTAATATTTTTTTATAGCTAACTCCATATTAATGACAATTTTTATTTTGTTCCAAAAGTTTACTTCCTTAATTTTTAGTTTTTAAGTTAGAGAGAGGAAAGATAAACTTGTCTAAAAGAGAAGAGAGAAAATAGTTGGTTGATATTGATTTTAGTCAAACAAAAATTTGATCATGGTATCAAAAAATTTCATTTATTGAGAGAAATTTCATTATGGTGTTCTATGACATTTACCTTGCATGAAATGATAGATATAAGTTTGGAAAGTTTTACCGATTCAAGTTGAGTTTTGTTTTCTCAATTTATTTTTGGGTTATTTGACACATAAATATATTTATTTAGGTTTTTAGGATATTTTTAAATGTTTTTAGGTTAATAATAGTTTTAAAAAATAGTTTTTTTCAATCCAAAAACTATCTTTTTTTTTTATTGTTATGGTAGCTATTTTTTATCATCTATTTTTTATAAAATAAAAATAAATGGCTGACCATGTTGGTTTTATTTATAGAAAGAATACTAGGCCTTAGGGCGACCTTTAGCTTTGTTTATAATCAATTTATCAATTTATTTTTAACACATTAAACTAACATAATATTATTTTCTGTGTCTTTATAAATTCGAGATGCCTTAATTAGTTTTATGGATTACCTAAATAAATAAAACATATAGGATTTGATGTGAAGCTTGATTGTTCATATAAAAACAATGAAGCTTGGATTTTTTTTATTTTTTATTTTTTTCGATTTAGTTTGTCTCTAGCCTAATGGGATGAAATTAATCTTGAAATTATAATAGATCTATAAAATTAAAAGAAAAATGATTGAAATGTAAGATATGGAGATAATATATGCCTAATCCTAAATTCTTTTAATTTTCATTTTGATTTTAAAATTTAGTTTTATTTTTTTTAGTTTATGGATGAAAATAAGAGTTAATGTAAATAGAGAGAGAAAGTATTGGAATGCCACGATTCCACTAACCTAAATGGTCAGGTTTGGTGTTGAATTGTTCCATTCGACAACAAGTATTTAATGGTAGTGATTTTATCTTTATGCAGCTTAGAAATATTTTTGTGTCAATTAGATTTTTTATTATTTTAAACCAATTTTTTGCTACTTCAAGATCACAAATGGATTTTATTGAGGTTTGTTGGATATTATTAATGTGTTTTAAGGTGAAAAATTAGTTAAAAATAGATTGATTGATAAACAAATCAAAGTTGCTTTTCTATTTTTTTTAATTTCCCTTCCTTTGTTTTTTGGTTTTTTTGGCAATCAGAAAAAAAAACTTATCATATTCAATTACTTTTTAGTTTAACATAAAGCTTAAATAATATTTTAAATTTAAATTTTAGTTTTTTTTTCAAATATTATGTATATTATATGAAAATAATCATATTAATAACAAATTATTGATGAAAATTCAATTAAAATATTTTTTTATCTTAAAACTTGTAAATGATTTTGAACATGGTTTTATTATATTTATGATTTTTTTAAATTTTCAATCACAAATATATTATGAATTTATTATTTTTATATTTTTATTTAACATGCTTTAATAATTATAAAATATATTTTTAATAGAAACACTGGTTTAAGTTAAAAAAAAAAACTGAGTTTGAGATATATACACACACACACATTTAAAATAATTTCTACCCCCCGGAGCGTCGGATGCGCATTCATACTAGGAATTCTAAATCGAAGGAGCATACCACAGCAATTTTTTTCCAATTTTTTTCAATATATTAAATTTGAAAATAGAATTTTAATATTGATTAAAGCTGAAATAGATTTGAGAATACAGCTTGTTAAACCAGATACATGCACGCACACACACACACACAGAGCGGCTGGTTGCTTCCGAGCGGAAAATATCATATAGTTCTTCTTGTTTGTTATATGCCGTTTTCACTTGGCTTCGAAATACATCTTCCCTCCACAAAACACCATCTCCATTCTTCATTCCTCAATAAAATGATTTCCATGGCATGTAGTCAATCATCCCCAGTAACTGAAAACCCTCCGCTTTCCCTCTTTGAAACCTGCAAATCCATGTACCATCTCAAGCAAATCCATTCCCGAACAATCAAAACAGGCATTATATGTAACCCCATTATACAAAACAAGATACTTTCTTTCTGCTGCTCCCGTGAACTTAGTGACATGTGCTATGCGCGCCAACTGTTTGATACAATTCCTGAACCATCCGTGTTCAGTTGGAACATAATGTTTAAAGGGTATTCTAGGATTGCTTGTCCTAAACTAGGCGTTTCTTTGTATCTTGAAATGTTGGAGAGGAATGTTAAGCCGGATTGTTACACGTATCCATTCTTGTTCAAGGGTTTTACGCGTAGTGTTGCCTTACAATTTGGGAGGGAGCTGCATTGTCATGTAGTGAAATATGGGCTTGATTCCAATGTCTTTGCTCACAATGCTTTGATAAATATGTATTCTTTGTGTGGATTAATTGATATGGCTCGTGGGATATTTGATATGAGTTGTAAGAGTGATGTTGTCACTTGGAATGCAATGATTTCTGGATATAACAGAATAAAAAAGTATGATGAAGCTAGAAAACTTTTTGACATGATGGAGGAGAAAGGAATTTTACCCACTTCGGTTACTTGTGTTTCAGTATTATCAGCGTGCTCTAAGTTGAAGGATTTAGAATGTGGCAAGCGGGTGCAGGAGTATATAAGAAATGGTGTAGTCGAGGTTAATTTGAAAGTAGGAAATGCTTTGATTGATTTGTATGCAGCATGTGGCGAAATGAATGTCGCACTTGGGATTTTCGAGAATATGAAGAATAGGGACGTGATTTCTTGGACTGCTATTGTTACGGGATTTGTGAATACAGGGCAAGTTGATGCAGCGAGAAAGTATTTTCATAAAATGCCTGAAAGAGACCATATCTCGTGGACTGCCATGATAGATGGATATCTTCGACTTAATTACTACAAAGAGGCTTTGATGCTTTTCCGTGAGATGCAAACTTCTAAAATAAAACCAGATGAGTTCACCATGGTTAGCATACTTACAGCTTGTGCACAACTTGGGGCGCTAGAGCTAGGAGAATGGATAAGGACTTACATTGATAAAAACAAGGTCAAGAATGATACTTTTGTGGGGAATGCTTTGATAGACATGTACTTCAAATGTGGACATGTTGAAAAGGCATTAAGCATATTCAATACATTGCCTCAGCGGGACAAGTTTACATGGACAGCCATGGTTGTTGGCCTCGCGATTAATGGATGTGGTGAAGAAGCTCTCAATATGTTTTCCCAAATGCTGAAAGCTTGTGTAACACCAGACGAGGTAACTTATGTTGGTGTTCTCTCTGCTTGTACTCATACTGGCATGGTAGATGAAGGAAAAAAGTTTTTTGCCAGCATGACTGCTCGGCATGGAATTGAACCGAATGTAGCACATTATGGGTGCATGGTTGATCTTCTTGGCAAAGCTGGGCATTTAAAAGAAGCTCATGAAATTATTAAGAACATGCCAATGAAACCTAATTCAATTGTCTGGGGAGCTCTTCTGGGTGCCTGTAGAATTCATAAAGATGCAGAAATGGCTGAAAGGGCCATAGAGCAGATTCTTGAGTTAGAACCCAATAATGGAGCTGTTTATGTTCTGCAGTGTAATATATATGCAGCTTGCAATAAATGGGATAAATTGCGTGAATTGCGACGAGTGATGATGGATAGAGGTATCAAGAAAACCCCAGGTTGCAGCTTGATTGAGATGAATGGTATTGTCCATGAGTTTGTTGCCGGTGACCGGTCACATCCTCAAACAAAAGAAATATATGGGAAGTTAAACAAAATGACAAGTGACTTGAAAATTGCAGGGTACTCACCTAATACTTCAGAGGTCTTCCTTGATATATCAGAGGAGGATAAAGAGAATGCAGTTTACCGGCACAGCGAGAAGTTGGCTATTGCATTTGGGCTCATCAACTCAGGTCCTGGGGTCACGATCAGAATTGTGAAGAATCTCAGAATGTGTATAGATTGTCACCATGTGGCAAAGTTGGTGTCAAAAGTGTATGATAGGGAAGTTATTGTCAGGGATAGAACTCGTTTTCATCATTTCAGGCATGGCTCCTGTTCATGTAAAGATTATTGGTGAGTTAATAAGTGGTGGTAGATTGTTAGTGACTCTCTCTCAAAAGCATCTAATACCATAGATCAAACTGGATTATTTTTTTTGGGTTGCCGAAAGCAATTTTTGTCGGTTACATAACCTCATACTATTATAAGCACTTTCACTCGGCTTAGACTTGAAATAAACAAGAGCTTGCTAGTATTGGCTGTCATGGAAGCGTTCAAATCCACTGACCAAAACCCAGTTTCGATCCTTCAGTGCTAATGTCGTTCTGAAACAAGTATTGTTTCTTCTCAAAAAAGAATTGAAATTGGCCTATCTACTAGAAATAACCATGATCTGAATACGAGCAAATTAAACCGCAGCCAACTAAGTCTGTACACTCTGTCCATTAAAAGCTCAAAGAGAAGAATTATGCGTGAGCTTACAGAAGTTCATAACCTGTACCAAGAAGTTTTGTAAGAGCACATAGCACTGCTGTCTACTTCTCATTGTCAATTATCAGGATACAAAAAAGTGTAGTGTTACATATGGAAATAGATCATATGTTTGAGAGATTTTGAAAAGAAAAGGAGAGGAGAAAGAATCTTGAGGAACTGACTATCTCATTTGATTGTTTAAAATGAGGGTTTACAGCACAGCATTCAGTAGCAATTATACATGAAAGATTCAGCCAAATGTAAACCTAATTTGTCAACAACCACTAATTAACAGCTTCTTTTGCTAATTCTGCTAACTCATGTTGATACTGGTCAAAACATCAGCAGCTCTGCTTGTCATCAAGATCAATTGCCATTCATTCCCTTTACTTGAGATTGACCTGCACGATAAAATGATTCACCGTAGAGTTCAAAGTCTGTCTTCAAATCCCACTACAATTTGTCACTTGAATATAGTAAACCAATTTGCCATTTTTGCATTAACAAAGCAAACGCAGTCGAAATCCAATGAACTATTTCTAGAATAGGATCATTTCTGCCAATCCAACTCCTCAATGAGAATAAAAAAAACTTAACCATCCTACTGCGAATCCATAAACATACAGAGATATGAAGTAACATTTAGCTCGAACAAGGGTCAAGCACAGGGAAACCTGCAATGCAGACTGATAGATTTTTCAAGCAAGCACCCTGCGAAGCAATCCCATAGAAAGCACAATCTGGCTTGGCTAAGTGAGACTGACACCGGAGACTCTTAGCACAATGCCTCACACTCACCTGAACCAGAGTCCAAAGTAAAACCCGGGCTGCTATAGTCTGTAATTCAAAAAACATGAGAGTCCTAGACAAAGACAGCCTATGAGATGGACATATAACACTTTAGTTTCAAACATATTGGATAGAAATTTCCATTTAACAGAAAGACTAATTTTGATTGTTAATATCCTACAAGCTGGGCTCGTGTTATGCTACAAGTTAAATTAATTTGTTTTTTAAAAACATACAAAAGAAATACTCAAACATTGCAAACATTTTTCTAGTAAAAGAAATTAAAACTATATAAAAGTTAATCTAATATAACTTGATGATACAAATTTTTTCATCACGTGATTAGACAACCTTTAACAAAATAGACAATAACCCGGAAAACTAAAAATCATGTTTGATAGAATCATAACCTATAGGTAATCATATACTTAAGAACCAAATATATTACAAAAAAAAATTTAAACCTAGAAATAACCTTATATCTAAGAATTTTAAGTATGTGAATGATTCCACAAAGAAAGTTAATCTTTGATAAAGCAGTGTATGATATTTGTTACTACAAAAAAAATATTGTTTTGCCATAAACAAACAAAAGAAAAACTCACATTTATTGTTCAACTTGTTGTCAAGATTCACAGCTAAAAAAAAAAAACATAATATAGTCTTCTCTAATTAACCATAGTAGATCTCTTTTAGGTTGCAAACTAATGAGTCTAAACTAGTAATCAACTAATATAAGTCTAATATAAAATAAATCCCTAAATAATGTATAATGGGTCAAAACAAACCCAAATTAAAAAATAATTATACAACATGAAATAAATAAATAAAATAGAATAATAAAAACAAAGTCTTCAAGCTAAATTTTTTCCATATAGCCTAAATCTCAAATTTCTGCATATTCTTGGCAAATTTCAATCATGACTTCAAATACGTCATTCTCTCTCATATAAATGAATTACTAAGCCTACCATACATGGTTAGAAACCTTGAGATGATTAGTTTCCATTCCAAATTAAATAGCAAAAACATTCCACCTATAACTCCATATATATCCCAAATAGCATATGAAGGTTTATTTTTGCAGATTTGACTAGACTCGTCTTATAACTTCAACCTTTTGAACTAATATGTTCCTCCTAAACTTCATTTGACCTAAAAAGTTACCACAACGTATTTTTATATATCTAGTATCTCATTGTAAAATCTCAACTTAATTTGATGTATGGTTTAAGAGACATTTCTTATCCTACAGAACTAGTTAGTAGACACTTTAAGGCTAAATTCATATCTACATTGGTTCGTATTATCCTTCCCTTCTTTAAAAAGACTTGATATAGAATCTATATCATGTAAAAAATTGTTTAAAGTCAACAAATCAATACCAAATAGAAAAATAACATTATTATCAAAACCAAGAAGAACCTTGTTAGCAAAGAAGGTCTCTATGATATACAAGCTCTCTTTTTCAACCATCTTCTTCTTTCTTAATTTCAGTTGCTCCTCATGTATTTGCTTAAGTCTTCCAGGAACACCTATTTGTCACTCCATCATGCATAACTCTCCTATCATATTGTCATGTTCTACAAAGCAACAAGTGATTAGTTTGTATTGGCACAATATCACATAACATCTCATCACAATATTTACCAATAGAAAAAGCAACCAAAACTTGTTTATTCATATTTGCATTGGTTCGTATCATCCTTCCCTTCTTTTAAAGTTAACAAATCAATACCAAATAGAAAAATAACATCATTATCAAAACTAAGAAGAACGTTGTTAGCAAAGAAAGTCTTTATGATATACAAGCTCTCTTTTTCAACCATCTATATCATGTATAAAATCTTTTAAAGTCAACAAATGAATACCAAATAGAAAAATAACATCATTATCAAAACCAAAAAGAACATTGTTAGCAAAGATGGTCTTTATGATATACAAGCTCTTTTTTTCAACCATTTTCTTCTTTCTTAATTTCAGTTGCTCCTTGTGTATTTGCTTAAGTCTTTCATTTATCTCAAAGGAATATCTATTTTTCACTCCATCATGTATAACTCTCTTATCATATCATCATGATTTATGAAGCAACAAGTGATTATTTTGCATTGGCATAACATCACATAACATCTCATCACAATATTTACCAATAGAAAAAGCAACCAAAACCTGTTTATTCACTTTCACTTCACCACCATTATTGAACCACTATAATTTATAAGGTATGAGATTTTTGGTAGTGTGCAAGTTTAACTTTCTCATCAATTCAGTACTAGATACGTTAGTTACCATTATTTATAACTAAGCTACATTAGATCCCTCTAATATAAAACCTCTTCTTTTTAGCCACCCTAACATTAAATTGTCTTTACTTAGGTCTATTTTGAACTCCACCATGATCATTAACATGTTTTCTCTCCAACCTATCAAACCTATCTCTAAATCATTAGTCGTCTAATTCATAACGTATACCTAAGTTACAATTTCATTGTCTCCTTTATATGGTGTCATATTATTACTTGCCTCTAATATCTTCAAATCTGAGAATTGGTTAGGTGACAAGAAGTATATAAATTTTTCATCCACTCTCTCACTTGTTTACACTCCTATTATGTTTCACTCAAATACACTCACTATGTCTTTTCTTCTCGTCTCACCTTTCTTTGGATCTTGCAAAAATGATTCCAACACCAAACATAACAACCTTAATAAAGTATTCAAATACGTGTATGTCCTTAATAAGTAAGGAAAATATGAAAACAAGCAAAGACAAAATTATGATTATAATTTCATGAGTAATAAGTGCATTTGTACGAAAAGTAGATGTTTTTGAAGATTCGAAAGAAAAAAGATGCAAAGGTTATAAAAACATTAAATGGCACCTAAGTATTTCAATTATGATGTTATCATACTTTTATAATTGAAAAATAACATAAACAAAACAAGTTTGAATTATTATCACGAATTAGATCCATTACGACAACTTTTAATCCTAAATTTACTTCCTATAGCAAACAAGCTCTAAATGATCTCAAATTTGATGCAGGTGCAATTAGAACCTTAAAAGCCATTGGACCTAAAATTTCCTTCTTATACGAATTTGACCTATTATGACAAGTTTTAATATCGACCTTGGTTACTATAACAAATGATCTTCAAATGAGCTCAAATTTTATATGGGATGTGATTACTACTCCTAGAACCAGTATATAAAATTTTAGATTTTGATTAATTGGTTGGGTCCAAATTCAAATTCTTCCTTGTTTGCGTACTATGGTAGATTAGACTAAAATGACTTTTGAACGTTTTCCTTCTTCTTCTTTTTGACTCTTTATTTTGTTTATATATTCTAAGATAACAAAAAACTAAAATAACCCTTTTTTTTCTTAACTAACCCTAAACACAATAATAAAAAAACAAAATTAAAGACAATTAAAGCAAATAAAGCTGGAATTAACAAGAAGAAAATAAAGGATATGACCTGATTTTTTAAACTTAATTTTGATACCAATTGATGCAGACCTCTCGATCATATGGTTAAGAAACCCTTAACAAAATAGATAACTACTTGGAAACTAAAAAATAGGTTTTATAAAACCTTGACCTAAAGGTAATCATGTACCTAATAACCAAAGGTACTGGAAAAAAGGCTTGGACCCAAAGATGACATTGTATCTAAGAACTCCAAATATGCAAATGATACCACAAAACCAATTAATCTTCAATAAGTCAGTATATGATCCTTATCCCTACAAAGAAACGTTGTTTTGCCATAAAAAACTCACATTTATTCTTTAATTTACTGTTAAAATTTATAACTCACGAAAACATAATATAATCCCCTCTAACTAACACTAATGAATCCTTTTAGGTAGTAAGTTAATGTGTCTAAACT